GCGGTTTGATAGAATTCTGTGTCTGTGTCCATGTCCTCATCATGCTTGTCGCTGCGCTGCCGCCGCCGCTGCCTCCTCGCCTCGTTTTTCTGGTCCTGGCTCGAGAACGCGCGAGGTGTTTACAATGTTCATGACTGCTGTCTTGAGCTGAGCGGGCTCCATGCTTGCCGTGGTATGGAGTCTGCAGTGTTCACCCAGGAAAAAAGGCGCGAAATGGTATTCTGCCGTCCGTTGTTTTCATGCAGGGAGGGAGGGAGGGGTGAGGCTGTACCCAGAACCACCTGCGACAATATTTTTTGTCCCATCAGGCACTGGGATCTCAACCCAGAATTCCAATGGGCGCGGGAGACTGCGGGAACTACGGGATAGCTATGGGATAGCTACCCACAGTGCAACGCTCCAGAAATCAACGCTAGCCCCGGTACTTGGACGCACACCGCCGAATTAATGTGCTTAGTGTGGCCGCATACATTCGACTTTATACAATCTGTTTCCCAAATTCAAATTATATAAATTCGAATTAATCCCGTAGTGTAGACATACCCTCAGTCTCCGGCGCCCTGCCCATGCCCAGCCTAATCATGCGTGGAAGAGCTCTCTCCTCCGGCCCTAGTTCTAGCCCCACCCAGACCTGCCTCCATGAGGCACATCCCCCCAGCTGGGACGATTCACCCCCTCCAAGCCTGTGGATTTCCAGGGCTCTGGCCACACCCAGTCCTAGATTTCAGGTGTCCGTGCTCCAGACTGCTATGGCAGCACTACACCCTGCTCAAATTTCGGCCGTCCTGGATGCTAAGTGGGTGGGCCACGACTCACCCAGGCTCACCCATGGCTATGCCCCTGCTGTACAGTGTGCAAACAGCACTGCACAGAACAAAGCACCGAGCACACACACTAAATGTAGCAAATACTAAACTCTTACTAAAAGAGTTTTTATCCATTAAAATTTTGGAAATTATTATGTGTAAAGAAAGCATTATTACAGAAATCTATTACATCTGAAAAGTAAGAAGCAATTAAATGAGCAGATAGATGAGCCCAGAAATCCCACACAGGACACTCCAAGTGCCAGAGAAAAGCTAGGGAGAGGTTGATTGGTTCTTGAAGGGAGACAGAGCAGAGCTCATCAATCTTCCTCTCTGGAATCCCCTCAGGTTGTGGCACAGACTCCAACAGGCTCTGTTAAGCTGCAGAAGTTAAACACAGGCAATGTCTATTAAAGGGAACCTGCCATAATGTTTTGCAATGACAGTGCACACCCTAGTGCACACCCTAGTGGCTGTAGTGTTCAGTGAACAAAATCTCTAACCCCGCTGACAAAGCTTTTAGCTCAAGTGTCAGAGACCTGTGTTCCTGGAGCCTGAGGTGCTGGGCTCTGTCCCTCCTGCTTCCTCCCTGCAGTTTCACTGGAGACTGTTCTCCAAAGCAGCTGGATTTATCATTACAAATCTCAACCCAAGCTGTATCAGCAGCCGCAGCAAAATCCCTCTCACTAGAGTCTTTCACACCTAAATTAATCTCAGAGATAACAAGGGGGATTTGGCTGCAAACCTGTTCCTGCATCCCCAGTGTGAATAAAAGGGAAATAAGGGATCCAGAACTTCCCTGTTCTGCTCCTTGGGGCTGGTTTGCTAGAGGGAACGGGCCAGTGAGACTCAGGGTCCAATGACTTGGACTAGGTGTCTCTCTTCAGAGGCCTCAGTGAGAGCAGTGAACCCCTAGGCTAAAGTCCCCCTCACTTACCCTTGGCAGATACGTCAGAGCCACTAGATCCTTGGTCATTTGCTGTGAAGAGGAGGAGAAAAGAGAGTATATTAGCATCTCTCACAGGCAGGGTTTCAGCGTAGTTAGTAGATACGGGGACTCTTATCCAAAGGGAACAGTCATCACCTCACTCTTCCCTAGCAGTGAGATGGTTGGTGCACAGATCAGGCTACAGTGCAGCTGCCCTGGATTTCCATTATTCACATGCAAAAAACGTTACCACTGTAGGGGGGGTCAGGACTGCTTTGTACTCTTCATGCCTCTTTAGAACAGGAACACTGAATACTCAAAATTCAAAGGCTAGCAGAGTAGGAGATGCTGGGCTAAGGATACTCCTGCCAAACAACCTCAACTCTGCCCCCTTCTGTCTGTGCCCAGAGGGGTCCCTCAAGCAGACCACAGACTTCACCCTCACCCCCTGCCAATGAACAGCAATTCCCGCCTTAATCAATGGCACTGCACAGAACAGTGTGGACGGTATGAAGAGGAATGCTGATTTGGAGTGGAAATTCACATGCAAGAACTTTGTTAATGTGGAGTTAAGGTTGCAGGTGGTCAGCCCTGCACACAGTCAATGGCAAGTTTGGTTTGGCATGGTGCTGTTCTATTTCCTGTTCCTGTTCCCAGACCCACTGGGGCAGAGTTCGAGTTGCGTGGGAAGCATCATTCTACCTCTGCATATCCTGGTTTGCCAACCTTTGGCTTCTAGGAATTAAACACTCTGTAGTAAAGAGGCATGGCCTCCCTCAGAGACTGAGAGCGAGGGAGGGCCAGACCGCGGCTGCCACGCTGGAAGCGAAGTGGAAGGGCGGGACAGGAACTGGACGTACAGTAACCCCTCACTTAACGTTGTCCCAGTTAACATTGTCCCGTTGCTGATCTATTAGGGAACAGTCTTGTTTAAAGATGCGCAATGCTACCTTATAAGGTGGTTTGGCAGCTGCCTGCTTTGTCCACTGCTTGCAGGATTCCCTGGAAAAGCAGCCCCTCCTTGTGGGGATTAGAACCAGGGGGGGCTGGCAGCCACCCCATATCAGCTCCCCTAAATTCCCTGTAAGGTATGTGGCTCGACAGCTGCCCAGCAGCAGTTCAGGGGGCCCTCCCCCACTGCTGTGCTGCTCCTGCCCTGCCCTCTGCCTTAGAGCTGCTCCCGGGAGCTTCCAGCTTGCTGGGGGAGGGGGAAGAGGGGTGCCACAAAGCAGAGGAGGGGAGACAGGGCTCAAGACAAACTGGAGGGAGCTTGCTGGAAGCCAATGCTTCCTGTCTGAACTGCTTAAAAGGGCAGCGTACTTGAAGTGGGGCCAGCATACTTAAAGGGGCAACACACATCTCTCTCTCACGGATGCACCCCCAGCACTTTGGAAAGTCAGCACCTCTGTATGTCCCGTCAGGAGGAGGGAGTGGTGCGCTCAAGCTGGATAGCGTGGGTTCATCATCATATTCAGTTTTTGCAGGGAAGTGTTTACACCCCCAGCCCTGCATCTATTGTGTTTCCTCCCTCCTGCCTCAGTCCATGCTGCCTTGTAGAATGTGAGGCTACATTAACAACAGCGTATTAACCCTTGAGGGCTCAGCCGAGTGCTAGTTCATTTAGCAGCAAGGCATCGCCTGGGAAAGGGGGAGCGATAGCTCAGTGGTTTGAGCATTGGCCTGCTAAACCCAGGGTTCTGAGTTCAATCCTTGAGGGGGCCATTTAGGGAACTGGGGTAGAAATCTGTCTGGGGATTGGCCCTGCTTTGAGCAGGGGGTTGGACTAGAAGACCTCCTGAGGTCCCTTCCAACGCTGATATTCTATGAAATATTCCACCACCTCAACCAAGCTTCATAATCATTCATTGCTGTATACAATATTAAACTGTCCATTTAAAATTGTTTTAAACTTATACTCATAGAATCATAGAATCATAGAATC